AATTTGTGTTTCTTTTCGATTAATCTACTCATATTTGTATATATGTTTCCAATTAATTAAAACATATATATCTGGATTAAGGGAACATGTTTGATAAGACATATGAATGTTTACAGCTAAAATTGGTCTCCTATCTCTTGTAGCCACAAGGGATGTTATGTCCTGCTCATCATGTCCACCTGACCCTCCTGTCCCCATCCTAGTGTGGCCCTGATGAACCACACCTGCTGCTTGTTACTCCTGGTTAGTCTTTGTATTTAAGCACCTGTTTGTCCCATCAGCCCCAGTCAGGTAATTGATGTTCACTAACATATTCTTAAATAAAAATATGTGATTAGCAAAACCTGTGACTGACAGTGATAGAAGGGAAAATCTCTAGCTCCTAAACCAAACCATCCCATGAGCCTGAAGGACTGTGGAACTGTGGGATGTTAAAGCTGAAGTTGTAGCCATTTCTGTTCCCCTTGCAAAATGCAGCAATACCGTAACTCTTTGACGATTATGGAGCTGTTTGTGTCTTTTAGATAAGAGGAAATACACTGGACAGAAACCGTATAGATTACTAGCAACCAAAAGCAAAGAAAAAAAATGGATTTACAAATGCAGTTTCTATTACCATCGACAAATCACTTATAAGGCATTGTGTCTACTTTTACTGATATTTTTTGGGGAATAAAGTCAAAGATTGATTAAGTACTTCAAACAAACATTTACACTCACTTAGGACTAGTAGTGAACTGATTTATCTGAAGGTTAAAACATTATACCTTAATGTCTGTAATGGTGCTAGTTTTCTAAATTTCAGGTTTAAAGTCAAATAAAATCCACACTATATTTATATAAATATATAAATGCGTTGTGTACCGGGTGACTAATAAAATTGTGGCACTCCCAGCTGTGCTTTTTATTCAGCGCATTGCAAAGCGTTTCACTGACAGCGACACAGGAGTGAGAACAAAAAATTCAGCTCGCACTGAGAAATATGATTATTCAGAAAAAAAGATCCCCTGTGAAATCTCCAGGACCAAACAACGAGAGAGAAGAGCCAGACGGGGTGTCCCAATGAGAGAATTCAATGGCTGTCTTTATATAAGAGTGGATGAGTTGCACTCAAGGGGGGGTCTGACAAATTTTGAGTGGGCTTCTTGTTATTTTACTACCTAATGTGCCTGGTCTGGAGCAAACAAATTTCGAGGGGGTTTCAAACCCATAATATTACTACATGGCTACTTGTCTGGTTGCATTTACCCATTTAAAGCTGCCAGTGCATGACACTGTTGAGTGCATTCTTCACCAGGGTCAGTAATAAACCCAATAAATCCCCATTTGAGTAGCTTATCAGCCTGTGGAAACAGGCTTAGAGTGACAAGCGTAAGTCAGTGTTCACATCCTTAATACAGAGCATGTAGGATGTCAGACAGATATACGTGGGTGTGCCTGACAAAGCTGTTTCTTAGCGTGGAGTGAGAATTTGTTTATACAAATTTTTTTCCAAGCAGGCTGCAATCGACCCAGTAACTAAAATGACTCAAAGGCCGACAAAAGAATGTTTTGGGCCACTGTCCACCAGTGTATAAATTCAAAATATTTGTGGACCAGTTAGATCTGAAATGCACTTGTTGGGTGATGAGAGCTTGCATCGTGGCAGGACTGTGGGGATCCAGTCTTTAAATCTATTAAAGTTTGCAAGGGATAAAACTCTACCAGCACTAAATTATTTAATATCTAAACAAGCAATATGAGCTAAATGGGCTTCGCTTGTTCCTTATGTTCTTAGGCTCATTGACAAGGCAGCATGGGGCAAAAGTGCTATGAGTGAGCTCTGCTGGGAGCTGCTGTGAGTGATATCGGCTTGGCCCGCACACATTCCTGTCACCCACTTATCCCATCAAGCTTCTGCTAGGAGACACCAGTAAGTGTGCAGGGGGTGGAGGTGGCACGTCTCTATGTACAATTTCAAGGACTGTCCTTTCTGACTACGTGAAATCGGTTCAAAAGCTGCAGTGCATAGCAGAACATTGGGTCAGGGCTCAGAACACAGAAACATCTCGCACTACATCAATGGGGATGGATCCATTAGTCCATCACTGTATTCACTGTAAATAACAGACTCTGACTCAGGAGATAATATTATTCCATTATTTTAGGAGAATAACAAGCAGTTCAATACATCAAGTTGATAATTGTTGCCTGATTACAGCAGTTACAATGGAAAAAATAAGCTTAAGAATTTTTACTGTGGTTGACCACAACAAACAATTATAATTTTTATTGTCAGTTTACTGACATTGCTGTACTTATTCTGCTTTTCATTTCTGCTACTTTATTTATTACCATTGATTAAATACTCCGGCACTAGGTATTTAAAGCCCAACCTGTCATATGCTTTTTGAAAATTATTGTAAATTTCCCCTTTTGTCACTTGCTGTATGTATGTAACACTGGGAGAACATCTTCTCAGAGCACTGTGTACTTATATAAGGATGGTAAGGATAGCCCACATGAGTTGACTTTAAAATGGGATTTCCTTCATATTAAAAATAATTGATTACAAGACCGAAAGTCTGTTCTCTAAATATTCTAAAATATTTGTATTTATACTAAATGTCTATTAAACTTAAATGATGAAACTTGCCATTATCATTTGATAATCATTCAGGCCTTCCAGAGAAAATATACCTCCAACATTTACCCATTTAAATATTTAAATGCAAATAGTTATAGTTAATAGATTGACAAAATATTATTAAAATCTCTATATATCTTCCAGAGGTTCTACTTTTTTAAGCACAACTGATATGCATTATTAATAATAATTTCCAGTACAACAAAGATTAAACATCTCATATTTAAAAATGAATTATAATAATAATAATAATAATAATAATAAATATGTCCCATGTGAATCTTATCGTCACATCCAGAATTTACAGAATGCAAGAAATAATAAGAAAAGTCATTTTAAAAATCGATGTACTTCATTGCTAGGACGTTTTAGTTTTATATTCATCTCAGAAATCCAAAATAATCACAATTTTGCATCTTAGAAAGCACATTTATAAAATGCAAAATTGTAAATTTGTTTCAGATGCAATAACGACTGAAGGGATCCCTCCCTACTTCTCTTTTTATTTCATTAAGGAATTTATTTACTCAGCAGTATGAATTAATATATTTTTCATTCTCTGTAATATAATACAGTTGTCGGCGCTGCGTCCTATTTCTTTAATTCTTCTCTGCACTGAGCTTACTTAAAATCTTTTTATAACGTTTATGTCAAACACACTATGATAACAAAATGCTGCACGCTGAGGCTAGATGACTCAAGCACCAGGTGTGTGCGTGCTACAATTCAGTCATTTAATCATTTTTTTACAGAATACGGTGTATTAAGCTTGCTACTTACGTCCTGGAAAATTGAAATCCCTTGGTCAGGGTTATTCTGCAAGAGATGTTGTTTGTTGGCACATAGATGCTGCTGCTTGGCAGACTGAAGACACATCGTGATGATCTCCGTACATGCCATCATTTTTAACACCTTCGAGAAAAAAAATATCTTTATATTTAAAAAATCTAGCCTTTCCTCTTAAACTAACAAAATATAACCGTGGCTGTCTTTGGGTTTCGAAGTTGCTAGACCCAAAACCTGAGCAGTAGCTTTGATGATGAGCTTCGATTCAGGGATGCGGCTGTACATTGAACGGAACTTTCCTCAGCGAAACAAGTCGCCCCGCCTTCTCTGATATGATTGGTCACCACCGCCTTCGACTAACGATGCGTTACCGTTATTCGCGGCTGTTTCTCTGCCTTTTGGGTACATGGTTGCTTTTGTATTTTTACATTATTTCTGTTTTTGTTTTCGACTACAAGCTGAGCTTCATTAATTGAACAGCATCGATGTCGTCCAATATTACGCCGCGGGATAGTAATATAAATATGTATGCAGATCAATACAATCAATACAATCAGAAAAGATAGATAGATAGGTAGATAGATAGATAATACTACTCAAAAGAAGTCAAATAGGCTACTGCGGCATTTCAAGACTTGGGGGGGGGGGGGGGGCTACGCCATCCTCTACCACACCGATAGCTCCATCTGCTGGTTCTTCCGCATGTTTTGACTATCTGTCTATCAATGGGCTTCTTGTACTTTGCGCTCTTGTTCTGTTTTGTCATGTCCTTTTGTTCAGACAATTACAGAAAAAAACAGTTATATTCAATATCAAAATCATAGCTGTTATATACCTCCTGTTGTCAATAGGGTATACAATACCATCTGAATGCTTTTCATACTATAATCCTGCTTGCTTACAAATCAAACACTACTTTATTTTAAAAAATGAAAGTTTGTCTATATATTAAACAAATAACTATAATTAAACAAAATAACACTTCAAACTTTTATCTTAATTTGTCCATGCGTTACTGTTTGTATAGATACAGCTGCATATCCTGGTCAAGGTCACAGGAGGCCTTGAGCAAGGGCACAAGGCTTGGATTCCCCATAATACAGGCAACTTAGAGACAATTATCCTAACTACATGTCCTTGGATTTGAGGGAAATCAAAGTACTCAAATGGAGACTAGTATGTAGCCAAAGTAAGTCAAGAAGAGCAACTTCAAACTCATAGTGTGGTGGAGAAATTTGAACTCCTGGGGTGCAAGGTGTGATGCAACAGTGCTAACCCCTGTGTCACTGTGCCTTAAAAGCTCATGGGCCAAATTTGCTTTGGACAAAATCGACTAAATAATTACAAATAGCTTTATTGTGTGTATAAATAGTACAGCTTCCCGTCATACAGCGAGCATGCTGAGCTCATGATTTTTACATAACAATGTGGTTCTTATAATTGAAGAAAACAAATTCCAAGACTAAATCGGGAAAATGCATAAAAGGGACGGGCCCAGCGAAAAACGTGACGAAGCTTTAACCAATCATAAAATATAGGTGGTGTGATGTTGTCCAATCGCGTCGAAGGACTGAGAGCTGTAGGCGGGACAACGTTCCCAGAAACATGTCGAGCTTTGCGTGTTTTTGTCCCACCCTGCGTTCGTCACGTGAATAGGTTTAGACTATGGTGGAAGTTTGTCTCTTATACTGAGTTTTTATGAGGAAACCAAAACTACGCGGACTGAAACATTTGAAGGATAATTCGGGGATATTTCACGTATTTGGAGTCTCTTATTGATACGGTAAGTTCCCTGATTTTAAATACGTTGAGAGAAATATCTTCCGTGTTTGGCTAACTGGCTGTAACTAGCTAACCGTCAGTCGTCGTCGTCGTTTTGACAGTCGATGAGCCTTGTTAACAGTAACAAACAAGCAAACAACCTCGGCACTGGAACTAAATCCTGAGTTTAGACAGCAGTTTAAAGCATTAAGAAGACCGAAACTTATTTAGGTGGCTGTCCAGAAAGTTTTTTTTTTGTCTCAAAAAAGTAGTCAGAACTGTCATGTCTAACTGCCAAGCCTTTTTAGCCAGACGGCTCTTTCTGGGTGGCTTGTTTAAAGTTAGATGTACATTCTTGTTTCAGTACTGCGGGCAGAATGGGTGTTGAATTTGGCCGACGTCTATGAGCGTCAGTCTAAAGTCAGTGAATGTTTGGATTTCTTAACTAGCTTTCTATCATATGTAGTGATTTGTAGTGCGGAGGCAGTGTTCGTGTAGATGATTTCCGAGGGTTATGGTTGTTTACTTGCTTTTCGCCGTTCTGCACCACATCAAGTTTAGGTCAGGACATGTTAGCTAGATAGTTCACAAGCTGAGATTATAACGAAACAGAAATGGACTGTCGTAAAGTCACAATAACTTTTTGAAAGTAGGACAATTAATTATTTATTGCTTAATTTAAAAACGAGGCAGCTAAATATGTCACTCACGGCTGACGTTGTATAAGCCATATCTATACTCTATGTCGAGCCATCGTTTAACTACCAGCTCATTGTCTTTGAAATGGTATGTTTTATATTTTTCAAGTTGGGTTTATTACCGGGATAGACAATTCATTCAACTTCAGACGTGTGGAAACGACAAATTAATTAGTGCAGTAATGAGAAGTAGAATACACGAAAAGCACGAACAGCCAAGTTTTTGTTGCTGCTTTGGTAATTCGATTAGTTATTTTATACTAATAATTTTAAACAATATGCACTACTATATCAACGTTAATAACTGTTTAGGAAGTGTACAGTTTACCTGTTTAAGTCTTAAATGTGTCATTTTTAATTCCATTGCTACGGCTGCAACTGAATTTCAAGGGAACACGGTTGTCTTGAACAGATATCTGAGCAAAGCCCGGTGTAGCTGCTTTTACGATATAACCTGGCCTTTAGTTTCACTTTGGAACAAATTTGAATATTCAAACTGTCCATGCTTCCCAAATAAATAAATTACACTCTTACGGTAAGTGTCCAGTTACGGGGAAAGAGTGAATGTTTCCTAATTTTTGTCACACGTCACTGTCTTCCATGAGAAGCATCTTGGAGCCTGTGCTTTTAGTGTCAGCTTGTTTAAGAAAAATTAATACGTAAAAGTGATATGAATGTGAAAGGTAGGGTGAGTTTTTAATTAGAGAATTCTTATACTGCACTGGACCTTTTGAAGCAATACATTTTTTTAAAGTATTTGGCATTGTTTCACCTGTTTGTTTCTGTAATGGTCAAAATGTATAGGTACGTCTAAATATTTTAGTAAGAATGGAAATTGATTTGTCTAATAATTTCAGAGTCATGTGTTCAGTTTGAGATGGACAATTGCAGAACTATCTGCTTTAGCAATGTGTAATAGCATCATAGAAAATTGCGTTTTTAGCTGTAATGTGACTCATTGAGGTTTAAAAGTTTAAACTTATCTCAAAATTAATCTTTGTTGCTAAAAAGTAAATGCATGTGTTGATAGTTTTTGGAAATCAGTAAGTTTGTTGGCAGAAGTTGTGGAAATAGGTGTGTGTAATAGTTTACTTATGTTTATGGCATTTAATTGGACCTTGAAGGTTGGCAAGTAATAATAATGGATGCGTGGACAAATGAAAAGATCTCAGCTATAATTGAGATTTGGTCAGAAGAACAGATACAACAAGATCAGGATGGCGTGACAAAAGATAAAGTGTCTTGTTTAATATACTAAGGCTGCATGATATTGGAAAATTTTCAAACATCATGAGTGATTTTGGTGTAAAAAATATTGGGATATTTATAAAGCAAAAAAAGGAATTCAAATTAAATACATTTCTTACAAACCCAGCTAAGAGTGATTTAAATGGCAAGGATAACAGTGATTATGGTTGTCTTGAAGAATGTATGCAGGGCTCATGCAGAGGTAAATTTCAAAGTGATTTTTAAAAAAATGTGTAATCTTGAAAATGATTAATCATTAAAATTACAAAGCTTGCTAAGTTTTTTTTTATATACAGACATTATGAAGGTATATAAAATCTCAATCTAGCTGACTAGCTGAATGGTGTATCCATAACTTGTGATGTTGGTATTGAAATCGCACATCACCACATGCGATGTTGATAATAAAATATCGTGCATCGCAAAGCCTGAAAATACAGTGGTACCTCGGCTCACGAACTTAATTTGTTCGAGGACTGTTTGTGACCCGAAAAGTTCACGACCTGAATCAATTTTTCCCATTTAAAATAATTCATTCAAACCTCAGAAACACTGATTTTTTTCAATTTTTTTAAATGCCATTCAGAGGCAGTCTCAGCTGTTACGCCAGTGGAAAAACAACACAAAGTAGTTCGGTAGTGCAGTGGAAAAGCGCCCTTATAGTCTTACCTCTAAATGTTTCTTTAAATTTGACATCAAGCTTTTTGATGTTGTCAGTATTTTCATACATTATGCATTGTATTGTAATATAGTTTCCCCTCTCCTAATTAAATACAAAGTGATTTCCACAAACTGAAGTATTTTTTTATGGGCACAATCTCGTGAGAGGTGTTGTTTGGGCTGAAAATGTGTTTTCTCTTGGGCATTTCGTATGTTTTGCATACATCTCCATTGAAGTACATGATGGCTAGGCACCTGGTGTTGAGCTCCAGCTTCTGGTGTATGAGACTCTTGTTGGTGATAAGTGTCTTGTACTTGCTGAAGACAAAAATCTCGTAGTTTTCAGAGTACGACACACTGCGTTGTGTCTATTGCTTGTATCCACTTTTGTTTCTTGAAAGACTATTTTTTTCGGTTCGGCAGCTTATGAAAACTTCTTCACCCTGATGGTGATGCATCCTGCTTTGTAGCAGCTTTTAGGCATGTTTCAGTTTTTTTGGTTGGCAGAGAAAAGTGACAAGGAGGCACCTTCTTGTAATGAAGTCAACGTAGAACAATGAAATATTCTCCTGTCCAGTGGACTTGGTTTTCAGAGTATGATGCATTGCATTCTGTCTGTCAGCTCGTTTCCACCACAGGAACTCGGAGACCAGTTGTTTCAGGGGTGCTGGCATCTTTGTGCGTGTACCATCCACAGAAATTGTCCCTGTAGGACCTCTATCAGGGCTGTTTTCAGTTGTGAAATAAGTACCTACTCCAGGGTAGCCACTTCTGAACAACCCTGAAGAACTGCTAGGCAGGGCTTGACACTGAATTGGTTCAAATCAAGTAGGTGAGTGAAGACAACAGGAAGAAGTGCAAGTAAGTGGGTGCCCACAGTTATAAGTTAAATATTTTAAATATTAATATTAAATATTATTTAAATAATCGGGTCATTTGTGGGCAGTCAATTAAAATAAAATGTAAGCATATAAAACAGGTCAGGTAATGAGTCAGGCATCATTTTATCTTTATCAACAGTGCTTTGAGTCATGGTTGGGTTGAATAAATGCATCGGGTGAGTTTGGGTCCCTCGTTAATGGAATCGCTCATCACTGGTTCCTACACTGCAATGGAGACAGACACAAAAAACTGAAAGGGCTGATCAGGGGGCCGCTCGTCTAAATGTTTGAGCCACCTGGGAGGTGCTCGAGTGTTCCTTTGGTAGTTACTAGGCAACATCGTTACACTCATTCGGCAGGATTTGGCCATTGCACAGTCTCTGGCTCTGCCTACTCTGCCTACTGTGAGGGTAATTTTACACTGTCTGAACAATCCCAAAATGTGGAAAAATTCATAGGTTTAAAATGTCAATACAATATCTGCAGATTCTGCATAATTCCACATTTGTGAGTAGATACCGTTTTCATGCCTCAGCTCTGTGATTCTGTCCATGTTTTCCACATCACTGAAATCACAGGGCCGCATACTTGGTTCCTTTCATGAGATTACCACCCAAAAAATGTACAAGTTTTTTAAAAATTCTGATTTTTAGCCTCAGAAAAGGCATGTGGGGGAGGGCTATCTGTCTATCTGTCTTTGGAAGAAAGTACTTTTTACCTGCTTTCAAATGGGGAAAAAAATGTTTAAAGTGTGTGTAAAGTGTTTTGGGGAACTTTTAACTTTTACCATTGTCTTGCAAGCTGAAGTCTAGGCAATACCACTGTCAAAAACTCATTGAATGATCCTGTAGTTTGAACAACCAACTGGGAATGAAGACCTCTAGTATTCGGACCAAAATGATCAGTTATGGGAGTAGGGAAAATCCTCTTGCTGTTTTATTTGTACCTGTCTCTGAGAGGTGGTAAACTTAACCGTCATGGTTTCCAGGCTTACTGTACTCTTAAATTGTTTCTATCAATGATATGTGTTCCTTTTGAGAGGAATAGATGATGGGTGAAACACTTGTCTGGACCCTGGCTTTTTGGTACTTTACAGACATTTACTTACGCCCACAATTTGGTAAGCAGATTACTAGTGTGCCTAAGATATTAATGAGATGTGTATTGTGACGCCCAAAAGTCAGTAGTCTGTATAAATTCAGCGTATCCTTATGCTTATTAAATTCAGTTAGCGGAGCACGCCACACCATTATTTTAGTAAATCATGGAAGTGATTAGCACTGAAGTGGCACTGAAGAAAAGAACAGCTCAACAGCTGAAACAGCTTTTGAAAGAGGAGATATTATGGATAAGTTAAAAAGGTGTTAGTGGTGTAGTGGTACTTCTTGCAGTTTAAAGTCCGACACAGTTATTAAACATAAGAATATGCAGAATTTATAGAGATCACTAACTTTTGGCCGTCACAATGCGCATCTCATTAATAATTTAGGCACACCACTAAGCTGCATACCAAACTGTGGCCGTAAGTAGACGTC